TTATCAGGCTAATTTCCTCCCTTTGTTTAAAGGGTTGTCGGATTTGTGGGTCTCATGGAGCCATCTTCCGTTATCCTGGTTTGGTAGAATCAATGCAATCCGTATGACATACTTACCTAAGCTCTTATACTTTTTCAAAGTTCTACCAATCCTGATATCCCCCCATGTACTCCGAATCCAACAGCAGAATATTCTTCGTTTTATCTAGGGTTCTCCCTGGCCTCACCTCACCTCAACAAGCGATTAATGTTTACCCGCAAAGCTCAAGGTGGCCTCTTGGTCCCTAATCATCAAGCCTACTATCTTGCAGCCAACCTTGCTTCTATTCCCTATTTACATGAGATTCTCCATTTGCCCCTATGGGCCACAATCAATATGGTTGACTCTTATCCGACTCCCTTGCCTTCTCTGCCGTGGCTCCCATCGCCCTTGTTGCACACTCTCTGGCTCTGGGATTCGATCAAATATTCTGCTGGTTTGATTTCGCCTTACTTGCCTCTCTTACTCATCTTCCGATGTCCATTGTTTCCTCCTGGATTAGACCAACCAGGTCAATTTTCCTGGTGGACAGAACTTGGGTTTTTTAACGTCCACTCCTTGCTCTCCCCTACCAGGATTGTTACCTTTGACACGCTTTGTTCATCTCATGAATACCTTTACGGGAACAATTTCGCTACCTTCAACTTCGTCACTTTGCCCACAATTTGATTAGGCCTCATCCGGCCCCCTCTCTCCTATCAGCTTTCCAAAGCATCTGTAGGTCGCATGCACTTGACAGGTGTAATCATCATTTATATATTCTTCTATTGTTTCCTCTATGCTCCTTTTTGCTCCTTTATGCCTCCAGAAATGTCTCCATACTGGAAAATGCCTGTAAGGTTATGTATCGCTGGTACTACACACCAACTTACTTGGCCAAAGTCATTCCACCATACCCACCGACCTGCTTTTGGGGATGCCCTCAGCTAGGGACAATGGCCCATATTTGGTGGTCTTGCCCTAAAGTGATGAGATTATGCATCTGGGTTTATGCACTCTTACATACTATATTTAACACGAACATAAAAAGGAACCCTTGAGAGGCCCCTCCTTTTTAAACCCATTGAATCACTTTTGCGGGCAGAACGCATCTTTTTAATGCCGCAAAGGTTACAATAGCGAAGGCGTGGAAGACTCCTGCTCTTAGTTTGAAGTGGTAAAAAAAACACATGAAAGATATCATGGTCAACAAGCAATTGACGTCTATGCTTTCTGATTCTCACGACCGGTTCCTGCGAGTTTGGAAACCCTGTATACCTCTTCTATACCCCTCACGTTTTGATCATACCTTATTAACATTGTGATTTCATGAACACATTTCCCTCCGAGACCATACATCTTTTTTTTCTTTTCCCTTTTTCTTGTTGACTTTTCTTGGGGTCGTCGTGTCTCTCCTGATTGTAAACTTTCCCTACTCTAGCAACTTACTTGTGACACATGTAGGTTATAACTGCACTTTTCCACCATAGTGCAGATCACCGTACTACGGTACTGTTCTTTCATTCTCTTTTTCCCTTCCTTCTCTTTTCTGGCTTTCTTCTAATTTTTCCTGCTGCTTCTTTTTTACTACAAAGTATTTCTTTGTCTTAGCTTATCATCGTTAAATTGGCTTTAGGGTGAAATGAACACAGTAACTCCGTGTGATGCAATTCTTTTCTTATATGGTAGGGCTTGCTGCCCTTGGGTTATTCCCCAAATTTCTTAAGTTGTTACTGGTTTTTATGCTTGAATTTAAAAAATGTCAGAACACCATTTCTACACTTGGCTTCGCTCCTCTGCATCCACCACACGTGTATTGTCATTTCTAATATTTTGTCATGACTGGCCGCTGTACTTGGTGTACTACGCTGTATATGTCTTTCTGATGTTTTCGTTATTTGGTTCTGTATCTCTGTATGCCATTTGTCAATAAAACCCTTTGTTAAAGAAAAATGTAGGGCTTGCACCAAACCAGTGCACTGAGTTAACACGCATTGGAAAAAACGTGTCCTTGCATGGGCATGCGTTTATAAATAGCGCTGAAGAAATAACCATCCACAACTTTTGTAATTTAAAGACATTTGGTCATAGGCAAGTGGTTAGATGTTAAACCTTCCACGTTTTTTACACTAGTACATTCTCATTTACCAGGGAAACATTTCCTAGTATATTATATAGTTGATATTTCCCCAAGCACTTACCTTTTTAAGCTTGGGTTCACACTGATGCGGTGCGGAATTCGCACTGGTTTCTGTGTGAATTCCACACCGCATCATAATCGCACCCCGTTCATGCAAACCACTGCGGGTGTGTATGTTAACAACACCCCAAAATCGGTCTGCAAAATGCGGTGCGATGTGTAGAATCGAATCGCATAGGTGTGAATACCCATGTGATTCGATTCTAGTGTGGACAAATAAAAGGGTCCTGCACCTTTTTGATGCGGTGCGATTTGATCCATACACTGCACAGAATTCGCATGTTTTGCACAGGAATGCGGTGTGGTTCCTGTCAGGGTGGATTTGATTTAAATCAAACTGATTTAAATCACGATTTAAATCACTAGTCAGTAAGGCTTGATTTAAATCCTAGTTTTCTACATAAAGACTAATTCTTGCTGGTATAACTTTAATATGCAAGTAGATGAAGATTTTTAGAATAACTTTTCATATTAGTTTTTTTTTTATCCCCGGTTTAATAGGTTAATCATTCATATTTGGACAACTTTTCTGTTGTATTTAGGAAGGAGAAAAATAATCATTACCTTAATAATAACAATTTAAATAGATTTATTCATCTGAAACAATAACATTCCAGCATATGTGATTTGCTTAAACATCCATGTTTGTTAACTAATTTGGCTAAACAAAATATATATATTTAAGAAACTAAGGCTACGTTCACACTAGCCTTGTGTGCAGGCGGCAGAGAGGCGTTTGGGAAGCGTTTTTACCGCTTCCCAAACGCCTCTGCCAACTCTGCACATTACAGCACATGGTGCTGTTCTAACAGAAGCGTTTGCGTCGCGTCGCGGCAAAACGGACGCCTCTGGTCGAGTCAGGAGGCTTTGAAGCCTCCTATTCTCGTCTATGGTGCCGCTCCGCAAACGCCCGGCCGGCGTTTGCGGTGCGGTTGCGACGCGGTTGCGGGGCGTTTGCGGAGCGGTAACACCACTCAAATGCATTATAGGCGTTTGTGGGGCGTTATTAACGCTCGGCAAACGCCTAGCAACCTCCGCTAAACCGCGCATGCGGCGTTTGCGGAGCGTTTGCCGAGCGTTAAAAACGCTCCGCAAACACCGGACCAACGCTTGCCAAACGCTATAGGGGCGTTTGGCAAGCGTTGGCAAAACAGCCTAGTGTGAACGAGCCCTTTAGACTGTCAGCCCCTTCCTCCTCACACTTAGTTTCACTTTCTTCTTGTGCAGATCTATTCCACTCCAAACAATCAGAAAAATATTGTTTCTATTCTATTCACTGAACTTCTTGAAACTTGGCACTGAAGGGGTTGATTCTGTATTCATAGGTTTGTAGAAGTTAGGATGAAGGTCTTTTTCTTAACTCTGTTCATGTTATAACATTTTTGCTGTGAAGAAGAGGCATGTGATCTCCGCTGAGTCAAATTCAGTTTTGAGAACTGCAAAAGTAAACCAATCATCTGTGATAATATCTTGTAGGCAGAGAAACTGCCCAATAATCTTACAAAAACCTCTGGAAGAGCATGACATTGTGAATGGATTCATGGAATTTATTTACCAAAAAAATTAAACATATACAGCCTTATTCTACATAATTAAAAAACGAATCTTTATTTCATGATGGAATAACCTTTGGATGGTAATATATTTTCCTCAAAAAGCATTTTGTTTTAAAAAATCTGATTTAAATAAAAAAAATCTGATTTAAATAAAAAAAATCTGATTTTTTTTTGATTTTTAAAAAAAAATCATTGATTTTTATCCACCCTGGTTCCTGTACAAATCACATGCGATATGCCGCACCGCAAAAGTGTGAACCCAGGCTAAATCTTCACTGGTGCTGATTCTAGACTTTTTGACACAGCCTCCCCAAAATGACCACTAGATCACAAGGGAAAGTGCAATCTCCATCAGCTGTCCATTAACTGAGAGGAGGTGGGAACAGGTTGAGGGGCATGTTGTCCTAGGCTTTTGAGCTATATGTTTGTGTTGAAGCACACAGCCTGCAGCCCTACCAAATAGCATCAGAAGATACCACTTGCATGCATCAGCATTCAGATTGAATTTAGTACACAGTGACAAAACCTGTTTTGCACCTGTATACTTCCAAATTTTTAGTAGTCTGTTAAGACTGCATTAAAGCCCGATTGAGCTTTTACCTGAAAATGGTTACATTCCAGTTGCATCAGAACAAAATGTCTTACAGTTCATTTTCTTTCTAAAGCACCCACAGCCTGAGTAGAAAAGCCTGCCTCCTTCCAGCTTACTAGAGAAAAGGACTTTTGCTCCCTGTGAGGAAGCAGTAGTCTCACTGCAGCAGTCAGACACAGCTCCTACTGAGTCACACCTAGAATTCTGCAACTAGCAAAGCTCATTCTCCCTGCTAATTGAAAGCTCAAGCTTGTCAGATCTCGGCAAAGAGGTCACAGCTTGCCCACGCAGAGCAAGTGTCCCACTTTCCAGCTGTCGATGGCGGACAGGTTTTTCTACTTCGGCTGTGACTGCATTGGAAAGAAAACCAACTGTAAGAGGCTGAACATCTTTGGTTTTGATGTACTTGGAATGTATTTAGCTTATTTAAAGGGTTAGTTCACCTTTACCAGAAAAACTGCCTATTCAGATATGGGGTGTCTGTAGATAAGAACAAACTGTGCAGTGTTACCCAAAGTTGAATAATGCCCTTGCTAAAGGTAGGCCATTTACGTATCACATGAAGCCTGACGGGAAAACTTCTAGGACGTTGCTAAGAGAGGCCTAGCTGTTACTGCTCACCTTCACCATCACAAAAGTGAATGCTGTCTGTGTTACAGGAAGTGAGAAGCACAAACTGCAGGTGGTTCCCCAGGAAGAACATGATGATCCAATTCTTCAAGACTTGGCATCGATTGTGGAGAAAGTCACTGGTGTACCCCTTGCATCACAGAGACTCATTTACAAAGGTAACATCGAGATTTTGTTTTTCTGGCACTAATGTATGATGACAGACTTATAGGGGTTGCTTGCGGTATAATCACACCTAGACCTGATGCTGGGTGCAGTCTGTGTGAGTCCCAAGCATCCACCAACCAGGGGTTCTGCGGGCTTCACATCGCTTTGCATGTAGGTGTACACCACTCTAAAATATGTCTTGCTCGGGCCTACACAAAAGTCAATTTCATTAGTATCCAGTCAGGTAGACGCACTTAATAGCAAAAGATGATTGCACAATCAATTTGTAACATACACTCACCTGCCACTCTATTAAGTACACCTTGCTAGTACCATGTTGGACCCCCTTTTGCCTTCAGAACTTTCCTAATTCTTCGTGGCATAGATTCAACAAGGTGTTGGAAACATTCTTCAGAGACTTTGGTCCATATTGACATCATAGCATCACACAGTTGCTGCAGATTTGTGGGCTGCACATTCATGATGCAAATGTCCCCTTCCACCACATCCCAAAGGTGTTCTATTGGATTGAGATCTGGTGACTGTGGAGACCATTGGAGTACAGTGAACTCATTGTCATGTTCAAGAAACCAGTTTGAGATGATTAAGCTTTGCGATATGGTGCATTATTCTACTGGAAGCAGCCATCAGAAGATGGGTACAGTGGCACCTGGTGTGGTCTTCTGCTGCTGTAGCCCATCTGCTTCAAGGTTTGACGTGGTGTTCGTTCAGAGATGCATACCTTGGTTGTAACGAGTGGGTATTTGAGTTACTGTTGCCTTTCTGTCATCTCAAACCAGTCTGCTCATTCTCCTCTGACCTCTGACATCAGCAAGGCATTTTTGTCCACACAACTGCCGCTCACGGGATATTTTCTCTTTTTCTGACCATCCTCTGTAAACCCTAGAGATGGTTGTGCATGAAAATCCCAGTATATCAGCAGTTTTTATAAATACTCAGACCAGCCTGTCTGGCACCAACAACCATGCCACATTCAAAGTCACTTTCTTCCCCATTCTGATGCTCGGTTTGAACTTCACCATGTCTAGGATTGAGATCTGAGGTCAGGAAACGCATTGAGTGCATTGAGTTGCTGCCATGTGATTGGCTATTTAGCAATTTGTGTTACCAAGCAATTGAACAGATATACCTAATAAAGTGGCCGGAGAGTGTATGGTCAGCTTAAGAGAGCCACTGGCCCATCTTCATTACTGCACTGTATTGGTTTTACTTTTTGACGCATTATAAAATTTCTACTTTTAAAGGCAATGCTAGTAATTGGAATTCAGTGTAGCCGATCCAGATGTGTGTAGTGTCACAATTTTACCTCCACAGCGCCCCCCTTAGTGTTTGGCAGAAGCTGCACTAGCAGTATTGGGGTGTGGAGTTTGTTTCCTGGCCTCTATCCTTAATTTGACAATGAAACTAAGCCCTCCTGACGCAAATGTATCCCAGGCTCTATAATGGATGCTTTAAGTGGTATTAAACCCAGAAACAAAAATAACATATTGCAGCTTACAAATTCTTAGATGTGGTGGCTGCATGTGTTTCCTTTTATTTTCACCTGTTGATCCAGTTAGTAAGTCTCTGGGAGAATGTAGAGATAGGCCATTTATCACTGACAGGGGTGATTACAATGGTCAGCTGTTATTCATTGATATAGAACCCTTATCCTAAAAAATAGTTCCTATGACTGCTTAAGGGTCCATCACCCCATCCCTACCTGTTGGCAACAAAATGCTGAGCTGAGCAGATGTACAATCAGGAATCTTGTGTTTTTTCTGCCCCAGATCTTGGGGAATCCTGGGATGCAGTGAAGCTGATTAAAATATGTGCACAGGCAAATGGAGGTGTCTGTTTTATAAGGACTGGTGGCTGATTTGAGAAGTTAGAACCTCCAAAGGTTACCTATAGTCCTTTAGCTAACCTTGAAAATGTATTCCTAAACCCTTCATGTTAAGTCTAGTATTTAACACCTAAAATCTTACTCTTACCTTGGGGCTGCCTTCATGCAGGCCATGTCTGGCCTGATCAGCAGAGGATCTGGGAACAGATTGCTGCTGAATTGGAGCAGAGCAGTACGGATTTCATTCAGTTTTTTGTCATAGGAGCATTCCAGATTAATATTACTCCGTCCGTTTTCATCAGACTACGCCAGATCTGCCATGTTTAGGTCAGAAAAACTGAATTTTTTTTTGGGATCTGGATGGACTCAAGGATCAGATGGCCCATGTGAAGGGGGCCTAAACTTTAAACTAAATCTAACCCCAAAGCATATGCCTAACCTATATAATGCTGGACTTACTTTCTCAGTGCATTAGGGATCTGCTTGTAATGCTACCATTCTCATGAAGCATTGAAAACTGTGCCAAGTTGAACAGCTCCACCGCATTCTGTCACTCAAGTCTGTTTCTGATTAACTTCTTTAGTCTGTCATGTTACATTTCCTCCATCTACTAGCAGCAAGCCTGTAGTGTTTTATAGAGACATTTCTATGTCGCATGGACAGATCAAGTTGTGTTAACTATATGTCCTCAGACCCAGATTTTCAAGAGACAAATTGGTTGCACAAAGTAATGCAGGCCATAGATGGGGGTAGAAACCGGCCGATTTTTCTTTAAAAAAACGAAAAATCGGTCGTTTAATCAGCCGACATTACCAGGAATGGTAAAATAAATCGACCGATTTTCATCCCGTCTACAGCCGGCAAAAAGAGAGCTTTACTATTTCTTTGACAGTGCTTTGACATTTACAGCGGCTGCAACAATGTATCTATTTGTATCCATTTCAGATACAGATGTTTTTATTCGGAAACAAATAGATACATTGTTGCAACCGCTATAAATGTCAAGGAACTGTCAAAGAAATAGTGGAGCTCTCTGCAGGGATACTTTTTGCCGGACTGGAATTCTTCTTCTTCATCCTCTTCTTCATCTTCATCCTCTTCTTCTTCATCCTCTTCTTCTTCATCCTCTTCTTCTTCATCCTCTTCTTCTTCATCCTCTTCTTCTTCATCCTCTTCTTCTTCTTCTTCTTCTTCATCCTCTTCTTCTTCTTACTCTTCTTCTTCCACCTCTTCTTCTTCCTCTTTTTCATCCTCTTCTTCTTCTTCTTCTTCTTCCTCTTTTTCATCCTCTTCTTCTTCTTCTTCTTCTTCTGTTCTTCTTCTTCCTGTTCTTCTTCTTCATCCTCTTCTTCTTCTTCATCCTCCTCTTCTTCTTCCTCCTCTTCTTCTTCTTCATCCTCAACTTCTTTTTGTCTTCCTCTTGCAGGTCACTGCTCATGCGCAGATTTTTTATTGGTAAAAAGATCGGCCGATTTGCCCATAATTGCCGCGAAAATCGGGCGATCGGCAAAATCGGCCAATCTTTTTCCAACTTTACCGATAAAAAAAAAATCTGCCAAAATACCGAAAAACGGCCGAACAATTAACCCACTAACGATCCGAAAATCGGCCGATTTTATTTTCGGCCGAAAAATCGGCCGATTTTCGACCCATCTATGGCCTGCATAAATCTAATTTATTAGCTTAATTCGTCTTCTGAAACTGTTTTCTTTTGATTCTCCCAGTAGTAAAGACTGCCATCTACAGGGTATAGCACTGGCTAAATCACTTTGGGCTGCCATCTACAGGGTATTGCACTGGCTAAATCACTTTGGGCAAATTGGTTTTTAAGTAGAAAGCATGTGTGCTAGGAAGCCAGTTAATTCCGTTTTCTATCTCAACCCAGCCAGTTTGCCCAAAATGATTTAGCCAGTGCTATACCCTGTAGATGGCAGTCCAAAGTGATTTAGCCAGTGCTATACCCTGTAGATGGCAGTCCAAAGTGATTTAGCCAGTGCTATACCCTGTAGATGGCAGTCCAAAGTGATTTAGCCAGTGCTTTACCCTGTAGATGGCAGTCCAAAGTGATTTAGCCAGTGCTATACCCTGTAGATGGCAGTCCAAAATGATTTAGCCAGTGCTATACCCTGTAGATGGCAGTCCAAAGTGATTTAGCCAGTGCTATACCCTGTAGATGGCAGTCCAAAGTGATTTAGCCAGTGCTATACCCTGTAGATGGCAGTTCAAAGTGATTTAGCCAGTGCTATACCCTGTAGATGGCAGTCCAAAGTGATTTAGCCAGTGCTACTGTAGATGGCAGTCTTCACTACTGAGTGAATCAAAAGAAAACATTGCATGAACAGTGCACTTCAAGGCCAAGTAGTACTGAAGCTCAGGTTCTCATTTGATGTTTGGTATGTTTATTCACAAATATTATTACAGCCGGCAGGAGGGTTTTTAAACTGTATCCCTGCATTAAGTTTGTGTATAGAGATAAAGAAGAAGGGAATACAAATGATTATATATTGCATAACATAAAATAAAGCTGGCCATAGTTGGATTAAAATTTGGCTGGTTCAGCAGGGATGGGACAAAGTTCGATCCACCTATGGCTGTTCATGTTCAAGCCGATCTAACGATTAACCTCTCAAACCGGCTTGTTGAAAAATGTTCCTATGATCAGTGCTGCAGCACAGATCAGTGTATTCAGACAGTGGAGGAGTCCTGCTGTCAGAGTACAATAACACAGCTGGGAGGATTCCTCCATCCACCTTTGCTGGTGTGGATGGGGGAATCCGTTCAGTTGATCCACGTATGGCCAGCCTAAGGCTGTGACTACACTGGTGATTGAATGTCTCTGCTACTGGGAGACTCAACTACTCGTTGGCAGTTGCCTCATGCGCAGCACCCTGAAATGAATGCGGTGTTAATGAGATAACTGCCAGTATGTAGGTATATAGCATATAGATTACATTTCCCATGTAGCCCTGGCTTCAGCATAAATGTAATGTTATTTTTTCACTTTATTGTTACATTTTATTAAAGGTTTTGACTACCGTACTACTTCCTCTTCAGCCTCACAATTGATGGCAGCCAAGATGAGTGTTCACCTTTTTAGAGTATTTAGTTTACAAAGAAGGAAATAAATGTTACCATAATATAGTACTGTAAATACACCACATAGTAAAGATAACATACCGTTATGGTTATGGGCAGTGTCACGCTTCTGTATTGTTTATTGTTGTTTTTTTTTTTTTTTAATCTAGGAAAATCCCTTAAGGAGATGGAACAGACTTTATCAGCCCTAGGGGTACAAAATGGTTGTAAAATAATGCTGATTGGGAAGAAGGTAATATTTGAACTGATGCATTTTAAATGGCAAAAATAACATGTATTTTTTCAGATTTTAACCACTTAACCTCCCTGGCGGTATTCCCGAGTGTAGCTCGGGTTAAAGTTTCAGTACCAAAAGCGGTAACCCCGAGCTACACTTGGGCTTACCATGCGGTGCTGCTCCGGCATCTGTTCTTGACTTACCTTGTCCTGCGCTCCCGCGATGTCCTTCCTGCAGTGTCCCCGGCAATGTAATCCGGCGGATGCCGGCATCTGTCATCTGGGTTCCGTCCCCTGCGACGTCGGGACGTACGGGGGATGGAACTGGCGGGAAATTTGAAAATGACAAAAAGTGACTTCACTAAATACACTAAAATCACATAGTAAAACATTCCTGTATCAAACCATTTCACATACATTTTGTCCTGAGTGCTTTGTCCTGTGCCCTGCCTGCATTTTGTCTGTTCTTTCTGCCTGGAAACTGAGAAATGTCCATGGCGTCCAAAAAGTGTCCCTTTAGGTCAAAATCGATTTTAGACCGGCTAGAGAACAGCGATAGTAAATCAGAACCACTTGCAGAATTGAGTGATAATGATTTGTGGGGAAATTCGTCATCAGACACTGAAAACGATTTTGCGACTTTGCTCAGCGATGTGCGAATTTGCCTCTGTATTTCAAATTTCAGTGTTTTTGGTTTGATTATATTATTGAATTAAATTTATTATTATATTATTATTTTTTATGATTATTTATTAAATTATAATTTAGGATTTCGTGTTTCAAATTTTAGCATACCCGGGATGTTTACTAGACTCTTGTTCGGACAGATTTCAGTGAGTTTATTACTAAAAATTACAGCCTACAATAAAAAAAATACATATTTCCATGCAAAAAAATGTACCGCTTTGAGCACAGAAATATGGACATAATCAGACCACTAGGGAGGTTAAGCTCTGTAAGATTTTACCCCCTTCATGACTATCTGGCATTTTTTTTTGCTCTTCGGCACTGCGCTGCTTTAATTGGTAATTGCTTGGTCATGTAATGCTGTACCCAAATTAAATTTTATATGATTTGTTTTTCACAAAAAAGAGCTTTCTTTTGGAGGTATTTGATCACCACTGGGTGTTTTTTATTTTTTATTATATAAATGAAAAAAAGACTGAAATTAAAAAAATATATAGATATCTTTTACTTTCTACTATAAAGCACATCCAATAAAACATTTTAAAAATTGCAATAAGTGTATACTATTATTATACAGGATTTATATGGCGCCAACAGTTTGCTCAGCGCTTTACAATATAACGGGAGACAATACAGTAGCTATACAGTTCAATACAAGAGGGATAGGAAGGCCCTGCTCCTTGGAGCTTACAATCTAGGAGGGAGGGGCTAGTGGTACAAAAGGTAGTAACTGTGGGGGATGGACTGGTTGGAAGAGTAGAAGATTCCAGTATTAGCTGAGGGCAGGATAGGCTTCCCTGAAGAGATAGGTTTTCAGAGATCGCCTAAAAGTGAGCAGAGTAGGTGATAGTCTGATAAATTGGGGTAGAGAGTTCCAGAGGATGGGGGAAGCTCTTTTTTTGATCTCCCTTATTTCCCATTTGCTGCATCGTTTCCACTGTGTATAACATTTGTTATGTTACATGATGTTACAGTCATACATATTATACCTTTCCAATTTAACAGAACTGCCCAGAAGAGGAGTCAGAATTAAAGAAACTAAAAGATTTGGAAAAATCAGTTGAACAAATAGCAAGTAAATTGGAAGATGTTAACAAAGAGCTCTCAGGAATTCAGAAGGTATAATCTGTGCATTTGTTAGTTTTGTGTTAATTTCAGCTTTGTAGCCCTGTGAGACTCCTATTTTATTACACCTTGTCTGTTCTGCCTGGTGTGGAGTTAAAGTGTACCTGTTAACCAGAGACACCATGCACCATTTTGTAGGTATCAGATAAAGAATTCATTGGTAAAAAAGAAAAAAAAAAACCACTTCTCAGTAATGTAGTATTTTTCAGTTCAGTGTCGCCATTCTTGGGCGAAGATATACTTACAAACATATTCTGTGTAGTTAACAAAGCCCCATGCTGTGTGACGTGGGAAACTGGCGTGAGTGACATGCACCACATTTACAAAGCAGACTTGTTTCAGGTCTATCTATGCCACCTGTGCCAGTTTATATTTCAGAGTGAAATTGAAACTGGCATGCGTTCGATGGCTTTTTAACAGAGGGATTAAGGCAGTTTTCAGTGTAGAAAACTGCCACAGATCCTCATCGTATTTGACCTGGCACACAGGTTGTGAACTGTCTGCTGGTAAACATTAATTAGGAATAGGATCTGCTTTGGATTCTCAGTTTAGAAGAAAACTTGCACCACTCTTCATTAATTCCCTCAGTTGTCTTGACAAAGAGCGTGGTAGGTGCCGTAAAAGTAAAACTAACATAACTTTCAAAGAACAGAAATCATGAACATATCTTTATTTGTAAGAAAAGGTTCTGCTGTATGCCTGAGATCTTCACCTCCCTCCACCTTCCTCAACCTGGGCATAATATGTAGGCAAATTTTGGCTGCTTTTAAACTACACATTGCATCATAGGGGTAGTGTTTATGAAGTTTGTATTTTATATGGAATTCCTCCAGATTTGAGGGCTTCCCATGCAGATAAGTGATGCTTTTATACAACTGTTTTTTGTAAAAATAAAAAGGGAATCTATTCATAAGTTTTGACTAATATACAGTGCCTTAAAAAAGCATTCATACACCTTGACATTATCCACATTTTGTCATGTTACATCCAAAAAGGTAAATGTATTTTATTGGGATTTTATGTGATAGACCAACGCAAAGTGGCACATAATTGTGAAGAGGAAGGAAAATGATAAATGGTTTTAAAATTTTTTACAAATAAATATCTGAAAAATGTGCATTTGTATTCAGCCCTCGAGTCAATACTTTGTAGAACCACCTTTTTCTGCAATTACAGCTGCAAGTCTTTTTGGGGATGTTTCTACCAGCTTTGCACATGTAGAGAGTGATATTTTTGCCCATTCTTCTTTGCCAAATAGCTCAAGCTCTGTCAGATTGGATGGAGAACGTCTGTGAACAGCAATTTTCAAGTCTTGCCACAGATTCTCAATTGGATTCAGCTCTGGACTTTGATTGGGCCATTCTAACACATGAAGATGCTTTGATGTAAAGCATTCCATTGTAGCTCTGGCTGTATGTTTAGGGTCGTTGTCCTGCTGGAGGGTGAACCTCCACCCCAGTCTCAAGTCTTTTGCAGGCTCTAACAGGTTTTCTTCTAAGATTTCACTGTTTTTGGGTGCATCCATCTTCCCATCAATTCTGATCAGCTTCCCTGTCCCTGCTGAAGAAAAAAACATCCCCACAACATGATGCTGCCACCACCGTTTCGCGGTGGGGATGGTGTGTTCAGGGTGGTGTGCAGTGTTAGTTTTCCGTCACACATAGCGTTTTGCTTTTAGGCCAAAAAGTTCAAATTTGGTCTCATCCGAGCAGAGCACCTTCTTCCACATGTTTGCTGTGTCCCCCACATGGCTTCTTGCAAACTGGAAACAGGACTTCTTATGGCTTTCTTCTTGCCACTCTTCCATAAAGGCCAGATTTGTGGAGTGCACGACTAATAATTGTCCTGTGGAGAGATTCTCCCACCTGAGCTATGGATCTCTGCAGCTCCTCCAGAGTTCCCATGGACCTCTTGGCTGCTTCTCTGATTAATGCTCTCCTTGCCTGGCCTGTCCGTTTAGGTGGACGGCCATGTCTTGGTAGGTTTGCAGTTGTGCCATACTCTTTCCATTATCGGATGATGGATTGAACAGTGCTCGTGAGATGTTCAAAGCTTGGGATGATTTTTTTTTATAAACCTAACCCTGCTTTAAACCTCTCCACCACTTTAGCCTTGACCTGTCTGGTGTGTTCATTGCCCTTCATGATGCTGTTTGTTCAATAATGTTCTGAGGTCTTCACAGAACAGCTGTATTTATACTGAGGTAAATTACACACAGGTGGACTCTATTTACTAATTAGATGACTTCTGAAGGCATTGGTTCCACTAGATTTAGTTAGGGGTATCAGAGTAAAGGGGCTGAATACAATGCACGCCACACTTTTCGGATATTTATTTGTAAAACGTTTTGAAAACCATTTATTATTTTCTTTCCACTTTACAATTATGTGCCACTTTGTGTTGGTCTATCACATAAAATCCCCAAAAAATACATATACATTTTTGGTTGTAACATGACAAAATGTGGAAATTGTCAAGGGGTATAAATAGTTTTTCAAGGCACTGTAAGTCATAAGTGGCTGAATTTTTATTGAGTACTAAGGTTAAAAACATTAAAAACATTCCTTCCTGAACCTTGTGTTTCTCACCTGCATAAAGTGTGCATTGATCATGCAGTTTCACTGTGTAATTTGTTGGCCTGTATGCACAGCCTATAGCAGAGTAAATAAATAAAAGGAATGCGCTAAATGTGAAAAAATATATATAAAAAATTATTCATAAATCATTAAATATTCAAAATCAAAAGTCTTCAAATAATGTCCATACTGTGTTGAAGCCACCACCAAAAAAATGTTGAATCACTCACCAGAGCTAAATGCTGAACAATTGGACTCACAACAAGCACCTTTTGCTCTGGGGCAATATATAGCAGTCCAAGTTCCTGAATACAAAGCTGTGCAAAATAACCGAACTCTCCTCGGATAAATAGCCACCATTCAAGGATACAGGGAATTTCCAGGGATACAGCTCATCTTTCTTTCATACACCTCCATACCATTGGGACCATGTTTAAAAGGTAAAAGAACAAAATCATGGTGCAGCAAGTTTCACACATGTAATAAATTTTTAATGAACGAATAAAACTCACAAGTGAGGTGTCTGCACCGACACCAGTGTTACAAGCATTAGTTTAGGCAGCGGTACACGAACGAATCACCTCCCTTTAGATTGCAGAGACTATCTCAGACGATGGCATCCAGTAAGCCACGCCCTACGCATTTCGTCACCAACGACGTCCTCACGGGGCGGTCTGGATGCAAACGTCGGCCCAATGTAATTTATACCGCCCGCACTTTTATTTATTTATTTGTTTGAACAAAAAATTAATTTGTGATTTTTTTGAAGTGGAATTTGCTGCTTTAGAGATTTAGGGTGTGGCGCTTTTCTAAAAAACACTGTTGATCTATAGCAGAGTAAATCTTCACATTGCTGTGACCTCTATCTATATTCTGAAAAATGTGTATGCCCAAGAGAGGACACAAAAAACGTGAGGAACTTTTATTGGTGTTTTCACTTCAAGAAATTGTACAGAGTCCATGTAACATGAATTTTTTATTAATCCAAAGAAAACATGTAATTTAAAATAATTTGTTCATAAAAACATGTGTTACGTGCATCTCAGTCTCAGTCTGACCCATACACAGCTCTGCATATTTAATCAAAGGGGCAAAACATCTTATAGCCTCACAGAACCTTAAATACAATATATACAGCTTAGATGTGTACTGTGTATATGAGGATGAGGCCTTTCTCAACGCGTTTGGCTCATTGTTTCTTCAGAAGTAGGACGCATAATATGTATTACAATAGCTCATCAATATGGGGAGACCCCTAGCTCCCAAAAATTTTCCATGGGGCATCAGCGGGGCAGACATCACAGGAACCAACAAAGATTCTCATTTTTTACTGTGTTTATATGATAATGGTCCCAACGCTGCTGAGGGCTTAGTAGTTAAATGCCCCCTGTGAGTATTCTACCCTTTGGGATAGTGGGTTTAAACCAGGTACATGCCTTAGTGTTCCAGGGAGTGGCTCGTACCCATGTAAGTCAGCCGAACTCTGTCCTCTCTTGGACATACAGATTTGTCATATATATTGGGATGTGGTGTCCTTCACTGTTGATGATGGCATATGTTTATTAGTTGTCTATCTGTACTCTGAGAACTTCATTTTCCTATGAGGAAGCTACATATCCCACAATCCCAGGGTCTTTCGGTCTAGTGCCAGTGCATGTAAGAGCTACACTGTAATTAGATCTGACAAACACAAGCAGCAGAAGAGCATTCAGACACACAGAGAATTCACTAGGCAGACAGAAAATGTTTAAAAATGATATAACACATATTTGTGATGTGACACAGAGAGGATGGCAACACACTCTGTGTGACCAGAAACAGGAGGTTATGTTGGCCCTTTGGCAAATAGATACATGCTAGCTGCAGCAATACATGAACATAGGAGAACTGATCCGCCATAACACTACAAAATACAGCCACAACATCATTACAGGGTTGCAAACAAACAACTCAGGGAATCTAGCTACAATAATACCTAGTTAAAACACCAAAACATTTAAAGTGGTTGTCAACCTCAAACATGAAATATGAATAAAGCATATCCCTCTATAGTGTGTACTTAGTTAGCACTAAGTGTCATTTCTGTCTGCTGCCTCATTCCTCTGCTATCAACTTGAATCACTCCTGACATGTTTTCTTGACACCAAGGGGAAAAAGGTTGCCAGGGAAGGCACCGTCTGTGATTACCAGCCTCAGCTCTGTTCCTGTGTGCTGTGTGAAGGGGGTTATGTCTCTTCTCTCCTCACTGAGCTCTGCAGTGTGTCATTTCAGCTCTCTGCCCCTTTTTTCTGAACTCTCAAACAGGCCTTATAAACCCAGCACATGGAACTGATGTAGAGAAGTGAAGACTGCAGATAGACAAGTACAACCTCTGTGGAAAGATTTGTTTAATCTCTGTGTATCACCTAAGGTCAGCCCCTTTGCTGGGTATATGTAAGCGTTTGCTACTACTTTCAAAGTGCACAGTGCTTTTACAGTAACATGTTTACAGCTTTAACCTTTCTATGTTTTATTGACTATATTCCCATAAACAAATACAGTAAATCTATATTTTTTAAGTAAACCTGTTATGAGGAAAATGTTGGCTCCTGAAAATGCTAGTTGCCTGGCTGTTATGACCCACTGGATTCACTGCTTTAAATCACCAACCTGGTACAAGTTTGTAAATCAAGAAATTTCGATTAGTCAGAATTCCTTATCTGAACTTTTCTTCTCCGTGGTTAGTAACTCATAGCACAAGTCAAATGATCAACATGGCAGCCAGGCTGCAAGCATTTTCAGAAGGAGAGGTCAGCAGTTGCAGCCTGCATGTTTTCCTTATTGCAGAGTTCCTTTACATGAAGGAACCTTTGTACATCACATTGGCTGGCGTTTACTTTTTAGGTTCTACACTTATTTAATTTTTATACTTTTTTTTTTCTATCATACAGGGGTTTCTTAGTAAGAATCTTCAAGCAGAAGCACTTGGTAAACTTGATAAAAGAATAAAGACATCTGTTGAACAATTTATGAAGGTACTGGAACAGGTTGATTCTATGGTGAGTAATGATATTACTAAGATGTATGGTGAGAAGACTATGATGAGGGCTCTATATACTGGAACAGGTTGATTCTATGGCGAGTATAGACATTGCTAATATGTATGGTGAGTAGAGATATCACAAATATGTTTGGGGAGAAAAACTGTAATGGATTGATTATGGTGAGTATCAGCAATATGTATGGTGAATAAAACTATCACTAATAAGTGGAAGACTGTGACGGAGCACTGTAGCTCACAAATGCTTACCTGGCTATTGGGGTGCCACATGCAGAAGTGATTTCATACCTGATCTTTGCTCGTTAAGCAAAAGATGTTTTCTTAACCACTTGCCGCCCTGCCACTGTAAAAATACGGCGGCAGGGCGGCACGGGCAGGCAAAACCACGTTTTAAAACGTGTGTTTTTGTAAACAGGTAGAGGGCGCGCGCGAGGCGCACCGCCGCCCTGCTTGTCCCGCCGATCACAGCCGCGAATGTCAGTCACGGGTCACAGCCGGTCCTTACCGGCTATGACCCGGCGATCGGCGGCAATCCGTGACAGAGAGCACAGCTGCAGTAGCTGTGCTATCTGTCACTTCCCTGACAGCTCAAGAACACGCTGACCGGGACAGAAGAGTTTCCCTCTCCCGATCAGCGGTGTTCCCTTCAGTACACACCCCCCGCCCCCTAGTAAAACACTCCCCTCACACAGATAACCCTTCCCTGCAAAATAAAGTTAACCCCTTCCTCCCCAGTGCCATTAGTACAGTGTCAGTGTTTTTTTTTTTTTTGCACTGATCACTGTATTGGTGTTACTGGGGATGTCAGTGACCCCAAGTCAGTACCCCCCAATGTCAGAATGTCCGTCGCAGTCCCGCCATAAGTTGCTGATCGCCGCCATAAGTTGCTGATCGCCACCATTATTAGTATAAAAAAAAAACTAAAAATCCCAGTATCTTTTCCGCCATTTGTAAATGCTATAACTTTCACGTAAACCAATTAATTTACACGTATTGGGTTTTTTTTTTTTTTCAGCAAAGACATGTCGCAGAATGCATTTTGGCAGAAATTTTATGACTAAATTCGATTTTTAAATTTTTTTTTACTGGACATGTTTTATAGCAAAAAGTCCAAAATATTGTTTTTTTTTTCCTCAAAATTGTCAGCCTTTTTTTTTTTATAGCGCAAAAAATAAAAACCGCACAGACGATCAAATACCACCGAAAGAAAGCTCAATTTGTGGGGGAAAAAAAGGATGTAAATTTCATTTATGTACCATATTGCATGACCGCGCAATTGTCTGTTAAACTAGCGCAGCGCTGTATAGCAAAAAAATGGCGTAAATTGCAGTATCTATACCATAGTTTGTAGACGCTATAACTTTCACACAAAGCAATCAATATACACTCATTGGGATTTTTTTTACCAAAAACATGGAGCAGAATACATTTTGGCCTAAATTTATAACCAACTTTGAGTTTACTATATATTTTTTATAGCTGAAATTAAAAAATATTGTTTTTTTTTCTTCAAAATTTTTGGCTTTTTTTTGTTTATAGCGTGAAAAATAAAAAGCGCACAGATGATCAAATTCCACAGAAAGAAAGCTCTATTTGTGTGAAAAAAAGGACGTAAATTTCGTTTGGGTGCATGCATTGCATGACCCGCGCAATTATCAGTTGAATTAGTGCAGCGCCAAGTAGTAGCAAAAAGAGGCCTGGTCATTAAGGGGGGCAAATCCTCAGGAGGGTAAGTGGTTAAAGAAGTACAGCCAAAGCTTGTGAGTGCAGTTCGTTCTGGTGGATTGCCTGGTGGGTTGTCAACGCTAGAGTTGAACTTCAGAGAATGCTCCAAATTAGCTGTAGGTTAATATAGTTGGCAAACCTAAGTAATAGTAGTAAATAATATGATATGCAGCTCTTCTGAAAAATTAGAGGCCACATTTGAGGTTCCAAATGCCTCAGGGTCTATTCAGACGTGTGCATTTTAGTAACGCACATTACATTACCGACACACACGTACCATGGTGCATTTCAGTGTTTTGTTTTTTTTTTTTTTCATGGCACCCAAACACACCAAACCAAAAGACCTCCACGTCTGCTTTGCAGCACATTAACCACTTGCCCTCCTGAGGATTTACCCCCTTCCTGACCAGGCCATTTTTTGCGTTACAGCGCCGCATTATTTAACTGACAATTGCGCGGTCATGCAATGCTGCACCCAAATTAAATTTACGTCCTTTTTTTTCCCACAAATTGAGCTTTCTTTCAGTGGTATTTGATCGTCTGTGCGGTTTTTATTTTTTGTGCTATTTTGAGAAAAAAAACAATATTTTTGACTTTTTGCTATTAAACATATCCAGTAAAAAAAAAAAATCTAATTTTGTCATAAATTTAGGCCAAAATGTATTCTGCTACATGTCTGCTGAAAAAAAAATCCCAATACGTGTACATTAATTGGTTTACGTGAAAGTTATAGCGTTTACAAATGTCTGTATATATTGGAATTTTTTTCTTTTTTTTACATTTTTACTAGTAATGGCGACAATCAGCAACTTATAGCGGGACTGCAGCGGACATTCTGGGGGGAACTGACTTGGTGTAACTGACATCCCCAGCGACACCATTACAGTGATGAGTGCTAAAAAAAAGCACTGATACTGTTCTAATGGCACTGGGCAGGAAGGGGTTAACATGAGCGGCGATCAAAGGGTTAACTGTGTGCAGGGAGTGTTTTTACTAGGGGGCCAGGTCAGTGTGCTTCGCTGTAATCACACTGCTCACACAGCCATCCAGAGCAGTGTGCCCGAGCTGACAGGGAGGAGGACTGTTGGTAAACAAAACAGTCCTCCTCCCCGTCGGAAATGCTTGGTAATTACCAGCCGGGATTGGGTGATTGACAGCTGCGGACGCGAATGGCGGCGTGGGTAGGGTGCGCGTGCTCCCTACCCGGAAATGCGAAATGACTTATATATACGTGATTGTGCATACCCATGCCGCCCTGTAGGCGTATTTCTGCAATGTTTTGCCATGTGTTGTGGTCTGCTTAACGGTATAAATTGATCAAGTCCGTTTTTGGGTGCATTATGGTATATTGGCAGTCCATTTACATAGACCCTTAATATTTGCTCATAGAGTTATTAGTCATAGATCAAATACAGTGTTTATTAAATGGTAAAAATGATTAGTAACATATTTTTTTTATACCAGGCAATGCCAGAAAATTTTAATGACTGTAGAATGAAGAGGAAGGCATTAGTGAAAAAAGTGCAGGTAAGAGACAATGGTATTTTCATGGTTTCCCATCTGCAGCTCATTGATTGTTTGTAAATGATATCAAAACCAAACTACCGTATTTTCTGGCGTATGAGGCGACTGGTTGTATAAGTTGACCCCCTAATTTTCCAGTAAAAAAATAGGTTTTGGGCTATACTCGCCATATAAGACTACCCCCCTTCCGAGGCAACACCATTTAAAAACATCAGATTTTTTAATTGAAATGGTTATGACTTACCGGTACTTAAAATCCTTCAAAATCCTCATGTTCATCCTCTGACATCATAAGTTCATGAATGACATCTTGTGATACATTTGTAAGACAGTCATCATATGGATCAAATTCCAAATCAGATGGTTACTGCTGGATGTGCAGGTAATACGGTAGCTTCGGCTAAATACACTATACAGTATATATACAGCCCGCTGGATATGTGCGGTAATTTGGCTCCTTACGGTATATTCTGGATGTGCAGTAAAGTACATACAGTATACCGCGCTGAGCCAAGCTGGCTCAAAACAAATGTCCCTATGACAGATTAATCTGTCAGCCCGCTGGATGTGCGGTATATACAGTATACTGAGCCAAGCTGTTTCAAAACGTACCGGTACATCCCTACTGTAATCAGCCTGCTGGATGTGTGTATGTACAGTAGCTGAGGCTACATACAGTATACGCTGGGCCAATCACGGCGAGCGATGTATTCTACTAATGAATACAAAACCTGCTCGGATTGGCTGAGGTTGTGACTTCATCAGCCTACCTTTCTGACTCAGCCAATCTGAGCAGGCTTTGTATTCATTAGTAGAATACATCACTCGCCGTGATTGGCCCAGTGTATACTGTATACTGTAGCCAGCTGCAGCTACCGTACATACACGCATCCAGCGGGCTCATTACAGTAGGGACGTACCGGTACGTTTTGAAACCGCTTGGCTCAGCGCAGTATACTGTATATACCGCACATCCAGCGGGCTGACAGATTAATCTGTCATAGGGACATTTGTTTTGAGCCAGCTTGGCTCAGCACGGTATACTGTATGTACATTACTGCACATCCAGCCAGCTTGGCTCACCATGGTATACTGTATGTACATTACTGCACATCCAGCCAGCTTGGCTCACCATGGTATACTGTATGTACAGTATTACCACACATCCAGCCAGCTTGGCTCACCGTGGTATACTGTATGTACATTACTGCACATCCAGCCAGCTTGGCTCACCATGGTATACTGTATGTACAGTATTACCACACATCCAGCCAGCTTGGCTCACCATGGTATACTGTATGTACATTACTGCACATCCAGCCAGCTTGGCTCACCATGGTATACTGTATGTACATTACTGCACATCCAGCCAGCTTGGCTCACCATGGTATACTGTATGTACATTACTGCACATCCAGCCAGCTTGGCTCACCATGCTGTATGTACAGCTAGTATTACCATTACACACACACATCCAGCCAGCTTGGCTCACCATGGTATACTGTATGTACTTACTGCACATCCAGCCAGCTTGGCTCAGCACGGTATACTGTATGTACATTACTGCACATCCAGCCAGCTTGGCTCACCATGGTATACTGTATGTACATTACTGCACATCCAGCCAGCTTGGCTCACCATGGTATACTGTATGTACAGTATTACCACACATCCAGCCAGCTTGGCTCACCATGGTATACTGTATGTACATTACTGCACATCCAGCCAGCTTGGCTCACCATGGTATACTGTATGTACATTACTGCACATCCAGCCAGCTTGGCTCACCATGGTATACTGTATGTACATTACTGCACATCCAGCCAGCTTGGCTCACCATGGTATACTGTATGTACAGTATTACCACACATCCAGCCAGCTTGACCCAAACAAAACTCAAGGTTCACATGTTAGACCTCGCGTATAAGACGACCCCCAATTTTTGTGGTATATTTTTAAGTATAAAAAGTAGTCTTATACACCAGAAAATACTGTTTATACTTCCATAGCTACTTTTTTATACCCATATAGAAGTACTGAAAGCTGTATCATCAAACGTGCATCATACTGAGACTCACAGCAATAACTGTAATGTGGTTGGAACACACTATAATTCCTCCATGTGTGCTTCAGCATTTGCAGCAAAAAAATAAAAATAAAACGTTAAACTATAAAAAATAAGTAACTGTTCAAAGCATTCAGGCAGTTTTAGGCCTCATTCACACTTGCATATGGGACCAACTATTATTTCCTGTGGGAGACTCAACGGGGTTTCCTGTGGGTGGGAAGCCCCATTCAGTGCAATGAGAGGCTAATGGTGCTCACAAATATTCACAAACCATTTGCCTGTAATTAAATGTGCAGCAAATCTCCGTGGATAATCAGCTCTGGATGCAAACAGTCTGCATCCATGGCCAATCACCCACAGGTAATAGTATCAGGTAATTGTATCTATTTAAAGAAGGCAGATATGTCACCCTCACTTTTGCTGAACAACTTGGCCAAATGTAAATTTGAAGAAATGAATGAAAAAAATGTCCAAAAATAGAAAAGGTATTAAAGTGTATATAAACACTAAATCTCTGTTTTTAGTATGTTGGGTATCATGCTTCACTATATACCGTTTCTTTAAGAAAATTATCAGATAGATCTGATAAGCAACCACAAGGCCAAATAAAGAATCTGACAACACTGCTGCTGATTGAGAGGCAGTGGCTTTCTATTTTCAGAATGCAGCAGGAAGTGCTGTTCCTTGCATAATCTCCAGGTAGGAAATTTACAGCAGATTCACAAAAAGAAATTTGCATAAGAAAACTGTATACACCAAGATATGAAGCCAAACATATTAGGGTTTATATACGCTTAGAGCAGTATTAAACCCAAAACCAACAATTTAATAAATTGCAGCTTACCAGTCATTAGATGTAGTGACTGCATTAGTTTTCTTTTCTTAGGCCCTTTCCCCTCTGTTTTCACCTAGTGATCTGGCCAGTACCACATCTCCTGTATTAGTGAGAATAAACCAGGACACAGCAGACAGCAGCATTACCAGTCTGGGGAGGATGGTAGTGTTAAATGTATTAGCAGATTTAAATAGAAATGAAAAATTAAAGCCAAACTCCAGCTAACACTTTGCAGTCAGTTACAGCAAACATTTTTTCCCCTCTCCTTTCAGGACAACACCTTGAGAGACTTCAGTTCCTTCCCACCCGAGGAAACACCTCAATCCAGAATAAAAGAGGCCTCCCCGCACCGGTGGGGAGGCACGGTCTCAGAAGCCCTTCCGGGGCAGTCAGAGGATCGTGCTGTGCCTGGGAGATTGGGGGGGGGGGGGTGGTGGAGGGGGTTGGACCGGGTGTGGTCAGCCTGGTGCCCTGTCCCCCACCTTGTGGAAGGAGGGACCGGACCCCATCGGCGGGGTGTGTGTCTGTCCGTCCATCTGTTCATTACCTGCATTGTCTCTCCGGCCCGGCCCCCACTGAGGGACGTTTGGGGTACCGGACTTCCACCTTTCGGTGTCCAGAAAGACCTGGGGAGAGGTACCGCCGCTCCACTATGCCGGCAAATGAAGCCCTGGCCGGGTCAGATGATGGGGGATGTCACTTCCGGTGGAGGGGTGGGACTTCATCCCGGGACGCAGCTTCCGGCCGCCTCACTTGAAATGTGGGCCGAAGTGTTGCCGATGCTGAGGCTGCATCTTGCAGGGGCAGGCGATGCAGGACCTCAAGGCGGACCACCACCTTGGGCCATGTCCGGAGCAGAGGGTCGTCATGAGGGTCCGCTCCGCAGAGACCAGGCAAGGGTTTTTTTTTCCAAAGTCTTTGTGGTCAGAAAGCCCTCAGGGAAATACAGGCTCATTCTGAACCTCAGACCCTTGAATGAGATCATAAAATACAAGAGATTCTGTATGGATTCCATTTTCTTGGTCAGGTCTCTTCATCCCCCTAACTGCTTTCTGGCCTCAATAGACCTACTGGACGCCTACGTACACATTCCAGTCGCAGATGCCTTTCAGAAATTCCTTAGGTTGACGGTACGGGGCCCCAGGGGAATCCTTCACCTGCAGTTCCGAGCCTTGCCCTTTGGGCTTTCCTCCTCACCGAGGATTTTCACAATCATGGCTGAGGCCCTGGTGTCTCTTCATCTAAGGGGAGTTTTCGCTGGTGGCTTACTCTGTATGATCTCCTATTGTTTGCAGACTCAGAGGAACAGCTGACGCAGGACACAAGCTTGGTGAAGAGACACTGGAGAGTGGAGAGTTTAGGCTGGCTAATAAACTAGTAGCCAAGTTGAATTTGGTCTCGGCCCAAAGGATGGTGTACCTGGGCTACGAGCTGGATTCCACCCTTCAGAAAAGCTTTCTACCCTAGGAGAAAATCCTAAAGTTGGACAGGGAAATCAGGCTGTGTCCCTAAGAGAGTCTATGTCGGTGCTAACTTTGTCAATCCCAGCGGTACAGTGCACAGGTTTGCATTTGCAGCCCCTCCAGTTGTTCATTCTGGACGTCTGGGATCGCTGGCAGGAGTGTTTGGACTCCTTGGTGACAACACGTGTGGGTCGTCTCGGACAACTCCTCCATTGTGGCATATATCAACAGACAGGGAGGACACAAAGCAAAACTCTGTGGTCCCTGGCTTTGAAACTGCTCACCTGGGCCGAGACCAATGTAGCCTCCCTATCCGAAGTCCACCTGAAGGGGGAATTGAACCAAGTAGGCAGACTTTCTCAGCAGAAGGCAGCTGAGGGAATCCGAATGGGTGCTCAGTCGGGAAATCTACCAAGCAATCATAGGGAGTGGGTTTCTCCATCCATAGACCTTTTTGCGTCGGGCCAGAAGACCAAAGTCCCAGTTTTCTTTTCCCTAAACCGTTGGGACAGGGCGTTGGCAGTGAAAACACTAGCACAGCGGTGGAACTTTCTCCTGTGTTACGCTTCCCCACAGTTTTCTTATTGCCAGCAGTCCTGAGGAAATTCAGATCCTAACGAACTTCCCTGATCCTGATAGCTCCGCACTGGCCCAGACGGGCATGATTTTTGACCCTGGCCGTCTACCCTCCTTGGATATTGCCATGCTGAGAGAATCTGCTTTCTCAGGGTCCAGTCCTTTGTCCCCAGGTAGACAGATGGAACCTAGGGGTCTGGTTTCTGAGGAGCAAGGGGTTTTCAGCTAGTATCCACCCTCCTAAATAGTAGAAAAGAGAAGACCTGTTCAATCTACAGTTGTGTCCAAAATTATTCAACCCCCACTGAAATTGAGTGTTTTGGCCAGTTTGACATTGCTTTTGATCATTCAGTCATCTTGCTTACATTTACATTAAAAGAGGCACTTGTAGGTCAGACAAATATAACATAACAGTTATAATGAAATAACCACAAATGTCTTTTCTGTGCTCACAGCATTATCAGTTTTATTCAACCCCCAAGTGACATTCAATCTTAGTACTTAGTACAGCATCCTTTTACAGTTATAACAGCTTTTTCAAACGTGAAGCATAGCTTGACACAAGTGTCTTGCAGCGATCTACGGGTATCTTCGCCCATTCTTCATGGGCAAAGGCCTCCAGTTCAGTCTTCTTAGGCTTGCGCACTGCAACTGCTTTCTTTAAGTCCCACCAGAGGTTCTCAATCGGATTTAAGTCTGGTGACTGCGATGGCCACTCCAAAATGTTCCAGCCTTTCCTCTGCAACCATGCTCTAGTGGACTTGGAGGTATGCTTGGGATCATTGTCCTGTTGAAAGGTCCAACGTCTCCCAAGCCTCAGGTGTGTGACGGACTGCATCAGTTTCCATCCAATATCTCCTGGTACTGAAGAGAATTCATGGTACCTTGCACACGCTGAAGCTTCCCTGTACCTGCAGAAGCAAAACAGCCCCAAAGCATGATTGACCCTCCACCATGCTTCACAGTAGGCAAGGTGTTCTTTTCATCATAGGCCTTGTTCTTCCTCCTCCAAACATAGCGTTGATCCATGAGCCCAAACAGTTCTAATTTTGTTTCATCAGTCCACAGAACACTATCCCACAACTTTTGTGGTTTGTCCACATGGCTTTTGGCATACTGCAGTCGACTCTTCTTATTCTTTGGAGACAGCAAAGGGGTACGCCTGGAGTTCTGGCACGGAGGCCTTCATTACGCAGTGTGCGTCTTATTGTCTGGGCTGAAACTTCTGTACCCACATCTGACAAATCTTTTCTCAGTTCCTCAGCAGTCACACGGGGACTTCTCTCCACTCTACGCTTCAGGTAGCGCACAGCAGTCGAAGTCAGCATCTTCTTTCTGCCACGACCAGGTAGCGTTTCAACAGTGCCCTTTGCCTTGAATTTGCGAATGATGCTTCCTAAGGTGTCTCTTGGTATGTTTAACATCTTTGCAATCTTCTTATAGCCATTTCCCTTCCTGTGAAGAGAAATCACCTCTTCTCTTGTCTTCCTGGACCATTCTCTTGCCTTCACCATGTTTGTAACCACACCAGTAAATGTCTAGAAGGAGCTGAGTATCACAGTCATTTTAAAGCTGCCTAATTGGTGCTTATTATGCTTGATTGCTGCTCGGTGACATCCACAGGTGTTTTCAATACCTGATGGAAAGCACCTGTATGAACCTCTGTTCTTCAGAGTGGTAGTCTTTAAGGGGTTGAATAATTGTGGCAATGAAGAAACCACATAAGAAGAACCATTTACTACTGTATTACATAAACAATTGATGTCATTTTAGTTGCATTTGGGTAGTTACAACGTCCTTGTAGGATTTGATTCTGAATACAATTCCAAATGTACACTATAGTCCCTAAACCCCTTTACAGCATTGGGGGTTGAATAATTTTGGACACAACTGTACCTTTTAAGGTCTGAAAGCTCTTTAACAGATGGTGTGCTCAGACTTCCTTGGAAACATATAGCTTAATTTCAGTCCTGGAATTCTTGCAGGAGGGGGCCGACAAGGGGCTAGTGGCGAGTACACTGAAAGGCCAAGTTTCGGCTCTTAGTGTATTCCTGGAGTCAGTAAGAGAAAGGCCTTTTTCAAAGTGGAACTTGACGACGGTGCTTAATGTTCTGACAGGCCCCCCATTTGAACCTCTGGATTCAGGTTCCTTCAAAATCCTGACCCTCAAGACCGTATTCCTGGTAGCAGTTACTACAGCGAAGAGAGTGAGTTGGAAGCCCTATCAATTCGGGTCCCCCTCCTCCAGATTTTTGCGAACAGGGTAAGGTTTAGGACGGACCCGGCCTTCTTACCCAAGATAGTCTCGAGATTTCATCGAGGCCAAGAAATTACTTTACCTTCATTTTGTTTGAAGTCTCTCAAGGTGCTGTCCTGAAAGACTCCTGAAAAGGTGTTACCGTAAGTGTAACTTTGCTTTTTTCCTTTTGGAATAAAGGTTTTACATGAATAAATAAAAGCTGATCATTTTAATCACCTCTGCCAGTGGTAAATGGTTTGTGTCGTCCATGTAAACTTATACATGCTGGCTTAATCACCAGATGAAAATAGATGAAAGAAAGCATAAAAAGGAAACTAATGTAGCCATTACACCTAAGAATTAGTAAGCTGCAATATAATAAATATTGGCTTTTGGGTTTAATACTGCTTTAAATATAATGGATTCTATAGTTTTTTTTCCATAGTACGTATTTAATTGCATATAAAGATGAGTAGCAAGTACCTATTTTTATTTTCATATTCAAAATTTATTACATGTGTAAAAAAAAAAAATTAGGTACCTCATGCTGGTTCATCAGATCCTGTATTATTTAGAACAATACTACTTATATATATCCCTGTAATCAAATTGAAGTATATCTCTTGTCATTGTTTTACCAAGGGACTCTTGGCTCAGTGTGACACAATGGAAGGAAACATCAGTCAAGAAATTGACAAGCTGCACTCTAAGAATTTGGCTCTGGCAAAGTAGAGGTTCATATACAATGTGGTGATAGAGTAAAATGGTTGCTCTATGAGCAAGTATGTATAAAAACTGATTTTTGCTCTCTGTCTTGGAGGATAGATATATATACTGTATATATAGTTATTTTGTTATTATTAACTGCTGTGTTTTGCCTGTGTGAGCTCTGCTGCTATATTTGATGTGTGAAAACACAAGAAAATAGGCAAAACTGTCATGTACTGCATACTGATAAGCCAACACCACCTTGGCACTAATAATATGTTTTAAAGCAATGCCTATTTTACTTATAATAAAGACCTCCAGGCTTTGTTATAGGTGAGGTGTAATTGTGTAGCCTTATTTATTTAATGGGACTTTCTGCTTGGGCCCGTTTTTACGTGTCTGTACCGAGATCTCCGTCCAGTTCATAATGTGAACCACGTATCTATACCAGTGTTTTCAAATTTATGCTTATGAATTCTGCTGAGGCACAGTTTTAGAAATTCCTGCATGCCGCAGTTTAGACACGGTTAGGCCTTGTTCACTTTTGAACTTTCCAATGATTTTTTATGGGAAAGCGCACCAAAAAGTATAACGCATAGGTGGTAGGGAATTGAAATGTTGCTAAAAGCATCTCTGGTAGTTGCAATAATGGAGTTGCAAGCAATATGTCATCACTCCAGCAAAATCAGACCCTAAGGGGCCCAATTATTTAAGTGACAGTTCATGCTAGAATGCGGTTTGTGAAAAGCACACCTCGTGCTTGTTTTCCACACTGCATGTGAAATGGTAGTCATGTGACTGGCCTCTGCACCAATCCCAAGAGTGTTCTCTGCAGCATTATGCCTATAACATTTGACGGGACACCACACCAATGCCTGCATTTTTTGAATGGCCCAGGCTGAATGCATGGTTTTAACACACTACAAGTGTAGTACAAGACTACATTCGTTTGTCTTTTTCATCTTAAAACTACTTATTACAGAGAACAGTTTAAAGCCCGTTTTACTATAACACATGGTATCTTTGTCACAAAGAGGCTCCCAGTGTGTTCAGAAAAGTAAGTGTAGAATTTGGGTGGTGGAAGGGTTAACGTAACCAAAACGACAGTTATTTTCCAAATGTACATTGATATATTTGAAAGGTATATCCCCCCAAATTGAAATAAAATGCATACTGAAAAGACAACCTAAACATCCACACATAACTGCAGTGTCCCAGACCACCCCAATGCTTAGGTTGGGTTCACATTCTTGCTCTACAGTAATGCGTGCATTGAGCATTGCGATGCTGAGGAGCCGTGAATTCCTAATGACACCTCAGTGCACCATGCCAAGGGACGTGCCTTGCAGCACATCAAAACACACTACTGTGCATTATGAGGTCGCTGCATTCTCAAAAAGTACATGCACCTTTTTTGGTGCGTTGAGCAGTGCATTCAAATTTATAGTCTGCCCCAACACAAGCAAAGCACGTCAACCTGCTTGTGATAACGCACCGCAAAATCCTAAACCCAGCCTTAAAGTGTATCTCAACCTTTTTTATTTTTTTTTTTTAAAACATTAACTACTATCGCCTTATTAGTTGTATGCATTGCAAAAATGTTGGCAAATTTCTACCTCCTGCAGCACTTTCAGTTTACATGGTTTACACTCACTTCTTTCTTGAGTCAGTCAACCTGCCTCTTCCAGTCACCTGATCAGTTTGATCAGTGTTGTAATAAGAGAAGAAAACAGTTGTCCAATCATGAGCAGTAACTGTCCTTCATAGATAACTTCTGTAAACAAATGGCATACAGAATACCCATACTGCTGTCATATTGTTGTAAGAGCACAATTAAAATAAGAGGCTTAGAGTGCCTGAAAGTATCATGTTTAGTGGGGAAAAGGACAAAAATGTTTAATCAAAGTGGTTTGTTTTATTTCACTGTTGTATTGGCAACAGTCATTGATAGCAGACTTAGGCAGATGCAGGGGCGGACTGACCATTTTAGGATCTCGGGCACTGCCCGAGGGCCCGGGGTCAGTAGGGGGCCCCATGAGATGCCCCTGGTACCTTTCATAGGCTTTTGTGGGTGTGGTTTGAGTATGGGCGAGGACACAGGGGCCCCATGATCCCCTATTGCCCGGGGGCCCCATGAGTTGTCAGTCCGCCCCTGGGCAGATGATGCATAAAGGCATATAGTTCACTATGCGTGGCTGCCATAGTCTAGGTCTGGACAAATCCTTGAAGAAAAATTGTTTATCACTTCAAGCCCAAATCTGAGCACAATCAGCTTACAGAAGTTAAATTACTTGAACCCTCAGTCTCCTCTAAAGCCACCAGCCATAATGTATACGTTTCTATGTTTTTCTGCACATTTTGTTTACATGCAGGTGGAAATACAGCTCCAGTTGTAAGTGCTGCAGGTGTCATAGATCCCAGCACTACGATCACATCCCAACCTCTCCCCCTCCCCCTCGGCTTTGTTTTGTGAATGGCCAGGAGAGGGAAGAGGAGATGCGAGCCTAGTCTGGGGTCTATGAGAACTGCATCGCTTACAGCCATAGCAGGCAGGGAGTACAGCTGGAGTTTTACTTTCATCCGCATGTAAACAAGAACATTTATAGTTGAAAGGAAGTGTACATTATGGAAGTGGCGATGAGGAAATTGGGTGTTTAACTAAAGCCGGCCATAGATGGCTCGAATCTTGGACTGTTCAGCCGGAACTGGCCGAGATTCGAACCATTTATGGGCAGACTGATTGTATCCAAAACGATTGTTGTACGGCCAACCAGCCTGACAGATATTTCATGCGATTATTGCCAGTGGCTATTGTTGCTAGCAATAATCACTGTGTTCTCCCGGCAAGAAATGCTTCCTCCTGCTGGGAGAACACAATAGCTCCGTGGGAGGGATTACCCCATCAACACTGACTGTCCATGGGGGAAACATGCGTTAAAATTGAGTAGTCTATGGGCCGGCTTAATTTAACCCTATATATTGTCCCTATAGTTGGGCTTTATAAAATTATGACAGCATTATTTTAAAATTGCCTTTAGGGTTTCTAGGGTGAACTCAATGGCTTTTGTGTGCACTGCTGCCTTATCTTTTGCTTTGCAACCATGTAAGCAGAGCATCTTCTCCTTTTCTATAACTAAATTCCCAGGACACGCATGTATAAAACGTAAAGAGTCATGCAAACCAATCAGCTTTGAGTTGTGCAAAATGAAGTGAATGGAAAGATCTGGCTGCTGTAAGTAACACAGATACTTCAGTGTCTGCAAAGTAAATGAGTAGTTCTCCTCTTCACACTTGCTATGTATGCTTTAAAATTCACAGCAGTTTTGTTGATGTTGGCAGAATGTTTTACTTAAATATGTTTGTGAACATTTTCATAAATCTGTTTAAATAAAATCATGCTGGCAGCTATATCTTTTATATGTAATTTATTCAATGAAATGTGTGTGTATGTTAGCTGCCTGGTAGCCAAATGAAAAATAAAAATGACTTTTGTCCATCCACTTGAATGTGCTTCATTATTGTGAGTGGTCTCTGAAAGAATATTTTTTGCAGCAACTTGACAGAAAGCAAGCTAGCTTGCATGAAAAGCAGGAACCTAGATGGGTAGGTGGGTGAGCGCAGTTAACCCTGTAATCTCCCTGCAGCTAATCTTTTCCCCATTACTGACTTACCATAGTTTGCTATACTGTGTCTCTGTATGGGGGCAGCCATCTTAGTGGAGGTATTGTTTTAATTCATCATGTCGGAGTCTCCAGCAAGAATGGTAAGCAGCACAGTAGTGATATTACCAAATCTGGTCAGACTAACATGTAAGGGGAGCAGAGCCTTCAATCTAACACTGCAGATGAAAATCTCTGAGGGCTGTAGGCACAGCTATGCTAAGCACCCTCACATACCATGAAATAAACTGATGATTTTTCAGGAGGGATTTAAGACATTTTTCATGGTACTGCTTAGGCTCAGTTAATATTTTTAAAATGTTCCCCTATTATGTTCCCCCTATAACCACTTCAGTTCCAGAAGATTTTACCCTTCATGACCAGGCCATTTTTTGCTTTTTGGACTTTACACTACTTTAACCACCTCCCGCCCGCCATATAATGAGGGCGAACGGGGGTTCTCTCGTTCTGGGAGGACATCATATGATGTCCTCCCACTCTAACTGTGCATGCGTGGCTCCTGGAGCGCACAGCGCGGCGATCGGCGGTGTGCTGTGTCCCTCAGACACAGTGGATCACTGATCAACGGAAAGAGCCGAAGATGTCGGCTCGGTCATGTGATCAGCTGTGTCCAATCATAGCTGATCACATTTAAATAGGGAAATGCCAGTTATTGGCATTCCTCTCCTCACAAGCTGTCACGCTGACAGCTCAAGAGGAGAGCCGGTATCAGCATTCCTTGGTGGGGACATGGGCACTGATCATCAGGGCACTGATGATCAGTGTGCCCTGATGATCAGTGTGTCCCCAGAAGTGCCACCTGTCAGTGCTCATCAATGCCACCTGCCAGTACCCATCAGTGCCTACCAGTGCACATCAATGCCACATATCAGTGCCCATCTGAGCTGCCTTTCAGTGCCACCTATCAGTGTGCATCAGTTCCATATAACAGTGCCAGTCAGTGCCACCTATCAGTGCCATATATGAGTGCTGCCTTTCAGTGCCCATCAGTGATGCCTGTCAGTGCCCATCAGTGCCACCTATCAGTGCAGCCTATCAGTGCCCATCACTGCAGCCTCATTAGCGCACATCAGTGAAAGAGAAAAATCACTTATTTACAAAATTTTATAACAAAAACTAAGAAAAAAACGTGTTTTTTTTAAAAAAAATTTCCGATGTTTTTGGTTTGTTTAGCAAAACATAAAAAACCCAGAGGTGATTAAATACCACCAAAAGAAAGCTCTGTCTCAAAAAAAATGATAAAAATTTCATATGGGTACAGTGTTGCATGACCGCGCAATTGTCATTCAAAGTGCAACAGTGCTGAAAGCTGAAAATTGGCCTGGGCAAGAAGGGGGTATAAAT